ATTTCACACCGCACAAGTACCGTACCAGTCCAACGCCCTCCGAGAATGAGGAAATCTCGCCGATATTCTTTGATGGCTTGCAACCCAGGGGCCGCCCTCTGGAACAAGCCGAATCTACCCTGATAGGCTCACATAGCGAAGGCATTGGCTGGGTTCACTTTGCTGGTACAAGTATCATACCGGTACTCGTGCCGGTACTTGTACTAGTACTTGGATCATAGCATGCAAGTACCGGTATCCGAAAACAGGGGTCCTGAATCTGTCTGGGCTCAGATACGCACGGATTTTTGTCACATACCCTACGAATCCTTGTACGGTACAGTACTAGTGTACCCGAGTACTTCTCGCCTGGTACGAGTACGGTACTCGAGGTCTTGTGGATGCGGCTTGTTGGACTTCGGGGGCCAAAGTTGGCCAGTGTTTTCTTGCTTAAACTTTTCCAAACTCACCACCATTTGATTCGTAAACCATTACTTGAGTAAACGATGCACGACGCAAGGGGGTTCCTCGCTCGAGCGAAATGCCGAAGCGGGAATTTTTTGCACCAGTACTAGTAAGTACCACAGCAGATTTGGACTTCTTGTCCCGCGTGTACTTGTATTGTATGATAGACTTGACTCAGTCTCCGACACCGTGGCTGTGGAGACGAGGTTTGGGGGGTTTGGGCTGGCAGCATCCCATGAGAATTATATGAGGAAAAACACCGGAGCCCCGCCCGGGAGTAACCGGCTACTGCCCACCCAGATGAACGATAGGATCAAAGTGTCGGTGGAGAATAAATGATAAGACGGTCCCGGAATAAGCAGAGGGGAAAAAAAACGTGGGTTGAAGCCGCAGGACTGTCCAGTCCTTGGTACCGACACTGTACGAGTACTTGTATGTGGCCATAAGTCGATGTTAGGAAAGTCGCGGGCGATCGAAAGGGGCTCCTGCTTTGAACCCATACGTTTCTTATCAGCTCAGACTGAGACTAAATGCCCTGGAATTTATCGGGCATCGAAATTCTTCCCATGATGCTCGTACAGTACTCGAGTACACCGACTATTGTCTCTGATTTCACCACCTGCAGTATCTTGCAGGTTCCAAAAAAATTTACGCGGCAGAAAGAAGATACAAGTAGAGTATCGATAGTACGCTACTGGTCCTCGAGTACCGATGGTCGTATACCCGTAGCAAGGCTGGCTGACGTCGTCCGAGGGTCGCAGTTCCCGGGAAGGGGAGGGATTAAAAGCAGAAACCAGAGGGTGTCAATGCGCGGGGCACTTTCTTGGACAATGTTGTTTTGATTTGGATTTAGGACTTTTATTCGCGGCCACCATGTTCTTGGAATATTATCTGGCAGCTGCGGTACCAGTAGTCTCAGTTGCTATTATACTCGTATTATCTCCAAAAGACCCTGGTTTCCAATTATTGATGTAGTTTCGTCATTCAGTTCAGCCGCGTCCGCAAAGTTCCGAGACCCACACCACTGCTCGTGCTCGAGCACTCGTACATAGCCCGTGGAAAGGTCTCGCTAGCCCTCTCTTTCCCCTACCGGTACGATATCTGTGTTCAATAAAGCAAGCCGCGACGGAAGTTTTCCGTTGTTGCTAGGGACATCATGGTACCAAAGAAGAGCCACCTAGAAGACTCTCGCTGCTCTATTGTTGTTGATATGTGTCGTGATAGGCATCGTTCTCGGGGCACAAGGGAAGGATATGGGAACTCTGTGGACGCGGCTGCGCCTGTAGGGAAATTGAACGATCACTTTTTCCGATTTCCAATGACCTCTTAGAGTACTTGTGTTCGTACAGTACGACCTCAATGTTCCGGTGCGGGGTCACGAGCTTCCGGGAGGTGGGAATACCTGGTGCCACCCACCACCGCAGTTACTACTGTAATCGTAGTTACCACCGTTATCGCGGATTCCAGCGCCCACAAGCACTATCGTCGATACCGCATACTCGAGTACAGTACTCAGCGCAAACAGAAGAAATCCCCTAAACCCGCTTCTTGCTTGTGTGGAAAAAAGAAAAGGAAAAAACTTTTGAGACCCGTGGAGGATTTCCTGCATGGATTAGTCAGGGCCCCCCCGCGCCTTCTTGGGGCACTAGTCCTTGGAATTAGTTTATTTTCTTTTTTTTGAGCTGAAGCTGATATCCTCCCAGGATTATTAGACCATTGAATAGCTTGGCTGAGGAACACGCGTGGGGAAGCGAAGCAGCAGGATTTCGCGAAAGGGAGTTTCCCGTTACGGCCAAACAACACAGCGATCTTGCCGGGGTTTGTAAGTGTGAGATCCATTGGTTATCAATTTACCGGTATGAGAGACTTTGCGATTTCGCATCCAGAGCCAAATTCTAGCGATCTCATTGGCCCAGGACCCTGTTTGACCCACATCCAGAGTCTTTTCGCAAAGTACCTCATGATAAAATTCGAGTGGAGGTATCACACCAACACTTGAGGGCTCTGGTGTGTCTGTACTTGTAGAAATCTGAAAACCATTTCCCTGCCGATCCTATGCAAACCATTGTGGGGACGATGGTTATACAAGTACAGTACTTTACAATTTTTACGGACGCACCCGAGGATATTATTTCATTTTGAATTTTCCGGGTCTCGAAAGCTATTCCATGCCCAACAGCAACCCCCGAGCACCGAAGGATATACTTTTCAATCTCGAGATGGCCCCCGCTTGAATGTGATACCTTTCCACTGTTATGTCATGGTGAGGGCGCCACTATTCAGTAAAAAGTTGGGTGGTGTCTTAAACACCAACCCTCTTGGTGGAGACTCGGTATTAGATGCTACGGCACGGATAACACTTTCCCGTGCCACCGGTACTCGAGTAGTGCTCGTACCGGTACTTGATGAGCCCGATATATATCGAACGAGAGCTACGGTAGGCATTCGGGCTTCCTGGCTCCCGCCAGTGTCTCTAGGAAAGCTGCTCGGACCGCGAGAAGCGGTGTGTTTAGGGTGTCGATACTCACGCTCGACTTTCGGTGACACCTATATGTATACTTACACTACCGATTTTTAGAATTCACAACGATGGATAGTGGCTCCGAATTTTCTTTAATTTCAATCTCAGCTCTTGGTATTTCACACCGGATATGTGATCAAGTATTGTGATAACCCCTAAGCGAATAATAATAGTTTGCGCAGCAGAGAACACTGTGAATGAAACAGTAGTATACTACCGGAGGTCCGTAGCATAATACCGTGCTTTATCAAAAGATAGGAGAACTTGGAGTGTGCTCGTGCATTAAATTTTTCGTATCAGTAGTCATGTTGCACCCGGAATCCCAGAAGGGAGACCTGCGCTTCTGAAAGAAGTTTGTATGGGTCCGGCATGTCCTACACACCGTGGGAGTACCCGTAGAAACTCTTGGGATCCACTCTCAGATCATCAGCAGAAAACAGTCCGTCAGCCCATGATAGGTTCGGTTTGACAGGTTAACAGAGTTGCGAATATCGATTACCAATATCCTACTGTCCAGCAGGCCGACCTTGTACTGTACGAGTACTGTACTAAGCACTGTACCGAACTAGCACAGTACTCGAGTACGGGGCTAGGGAAACGCTAATCGGGAGCCAGGTCCCTGAATCCGGAGATTACAGGGCTGGCGGAGTTACAGCAGTGGATCTCAAGATTTTTTTTTGCGGTACCGGAACCGTACTCGAGCAGGAGGCGATCGAGGACGGCGATTCCCTGGTTGCTCCAGCGGATGCCATTCGTGTTACAAACAGCCACCTCTGTGAACCGGAAAGGTATTGCCGCCAATCTCCAATGCGCCGATCATAATTGCTTTTCCTAGGAGAAAAATGACTTGTGATTTGTTGTTCTCCTGTAAGGAGCCTGATGGGAGGGGACACCCATTATAAAAATAGGTGAAAAAAAAAAATAGAGTTCGCCCTTCTGGTTGTCATCGAGGATTGCGGTGCCCGTGCTGGAATAGTTGGACCCCGCACTGGGGCATTGGAATTGCCTCTCTCAGTATGGTAAGGTTTTGTTGTACTTTTCTTTTTATTTGTCTCAGCGGAGGGCTGAAAGCCAGTTTTTCTCGCTCCTCTTGCCTCCCTTGCAATAATCCAAAGAGGGGAACTCTGGACGTCTTTGTGCGAGGACCAATTATTCCAGTTTCCGGGAGTATCGGTAAAGACTGAGGTTGGGTGAAGATGTGATATCGGTTGAGGCGTGATTCATTTGATCAAGTATCGGGCGGGGGGTGCATTTTTTTCCCCCATTCTGGTCTTTGTTGCTTTTTTTCCGACCAGTGGGGAGCTCATTGCTTTTACCAACCGCAGTTGGAGGCTTGGAGGCTTGCATGGCACAGGACGGGAGGCCGGGCACCAAAGCAGTTCAAAACTTGCGTCTGGCAATGAGGATCTTTGGATACCGATAGTGATGGGTATTTCTACTGGTACGGTACTCGTACTGTAGATGCCGTACCCCGTACCCGCCCAACAAGTTAAGGGGGAAAATTCTGACCCGCCTTCAGATAATCCATACCGGATACAAAGAAAAGCTCCTACTCAGTGGCGGCATGGAGGTTTCCGGTACCAGGAATAGTAGTGCCAATCCTTTTCTCTTTTTCTCTCTCTCTCTTCTTTTTTTTTTTTTTTCCTCAGGGAATTATGCCCTTGGTATGCAGAAGGGGGAGAGGTTTGCAGGGCGCAGTATTTGCCCTCACGAAGCCGAGGTGGGATCGATGAAAATTGAGCTGACCTCAGGTGGAGGGCCCGTATTCAGTGGACGGCGAGCTGCTCGATGCAGTCGGTTAAACGTGAACTAGCTCTCTTGGGAACGAAGGAATGAAATATTCCGACTTAGTTTGTCACACCGAATCCTTTTTCGGAATGGGCGAGACCCTGACTATCTGATGCCGGTTCAAAGGATCAATTTCAATAGGCCTTTATCTTGGGGTTACTTTTTCTCCTCCTGAACTCCTTGCTTTTTCTCTACCAGAAAACCAATGGCATCGATCGTGTGCCACGCCCGTGCTCGTCCCCTCACCACGGCGAATTTTAGTGGAGGATGGTAGAAAAGCGCTGTCTTCCCCTTCGGATTCGCATTCCCTTGCTTTTCGACCCCTCTGAACCGCACGCGCAGCCTATCTTTACTAATCTGTTGCTCTGTAAGTCCTCTAGACAGCAGGGCCCTTTTGAAGCTAGCTGGGCTTGGAGACGAGCAGGTGGTTAAGGTGGCCCCAGCGTCGACTTTTCAACCACGACCTCAACCACAACCACCGCACCAACGAAATCACACGACTACCGCTATCTCTATCGGAGGTTTGTCGGTTTGGAGATTGGCCCTTGATCCCTAGATCGTGGGTCGAATTTTCCCTCTGTTGGCGAAGGAAAATTACGACGCAAGGGATACACAGCAATCATGCTCGCCGGAGAATATGACCCCCCACTTGCTCCGCAGAGGTTCGCTGCCGGATACATCATTCTTTCGTATTTCGTCTCCTTCCTTGGCTCACTTTCGACTCTTGAACTCCTCCAGAGAAGAACTTCTCACAGGGGCTTATACAATTGGTGAGTGAACGTCCGCACATCCCGTTTTTTTCGCACCGATTGGCTAGCCACGGGTCTCGATGGCTTGGGAACAAACCTCGCATCAAGGGCTTGTTGCTCACTTCCAAGTAGGTATCTTCTCCTGGGGTCGTCTGTGACAATGGGCGGCGTGGCTATTTGGTCTATGCACTTTGTTGGGAACCGTTCGATAGTGCTTTACCCCAACTCTGTTGGAACGGATCAACTTCAGCTCGCGTACAGCTCGACATTTACAGCTCTATCATTCTTCGTCCCGATTCTTGTGCTATTCCTTGCATATCTCTTGATAGGTACCAACGAGGATGTGGGCTACATTCGGCTCGGGTTTGGTGGAACCTTTGCTGGTTTGAGCATTTGTGGGATGCATTATCTTGTGGGTAGCCCCTGTCACTAATTCTCACTCGCATGTCTGATTTTCCCCCTTTTCTATTATTTAGGGGCAATCTGGCATTGAGAATTATCGGTCGCACTATGCAGTCAACTATGTAGTCGCCTCGATTTTCATTGCTGTATCCTCAACGATAGGAGCCCTGGCCATATTTTTCATTCTGCGGAAGAATTTCACGAACAATTGGTACAAGCGGGCTCTCTGCGCCATGATCCTTAGTGGTGGTGTTAGTGGCATGCATTGGTGCGCGAGTGTTGGGACGCGATACCAATTAAGAGGGGATTCCGGACTCAATCGTGATACTAGAAACGCGACTGTCATTATTACAATTGTCTTGGTTAGTGCTTTGTGTTCTGTGCTGTCTTGGAATGGGAACGGAAGCTTACCAAGTTACCAGTCGGTCTTCGTGTGTGTCCTTCTGTTGGCGTTTGCCGTCGTGACGAGCAGGGCGAGGAAGATGGAGGGTATCCGCGCACAAAAGATTGTTCTAGCGTCAGCAACTTTTGATCACGATGGGAGGTTAATGGTCTTACCGGACGGAACATTGCCAATTAAGGAGGTTACAGACTGTTTTGAGGAGAAAGTATTAGGCCCTAAGGGTACGGGTTAAATACCATTGTACTAATTCCTGCTGCGCAATTTAGTCATTTGAAGAGACTCTTGGAAAATCACATCCGGTATTCCACTGGATATATCAGACCACACGAAATTGGAAATCCTTGTCTGGACTGATAGGAGGCATGAGACAGCATCTCCAACACTACAATCCCAATAGCCACACTGCGGATTTCGTCGAGGACTATTCATTTGTTTTCCGCGAGATGTTTTGTATCGCTGCCCAGGACTTGGCCGACGGGACGCATAGGAACTTGGACGACTTGGGTGTCCTCTATGACGAGATAATCACGACTGGGGTTAGTGTGAGCAATATGATTCCTGGGAAAAATTCAGAATATACGGACGTTGAGGCAGGCCACGGGAAAGGAAAAATTTTATTTCTGATAAAGAAAGTAGCCAAGGATGAAGCTGCGAATCTAACGAGCACGGGTTATCGGTTTACGGATATTAGCAATGTTCTTGAAATCATCAGCAGGTCAACTCAGGTCCCCAAGGAAACGCTGATACATCACCTCAGCTCGATGAAAACATACAACTCGCCGGAGCGTATGCTTCAACCAGGAGTTCATGTTGGATGTTTTGCGGTTCGTGCGAACGTCAACAGCGGCTTCGAGATCCTGGTGCGTGTTGATCGACAAGACTCTCTCCCGACCGCCCAGCTATCAATGTCAGCACTCGAAACTCGACATATCAAGTTTTTGAAAGAAAACGAAGGTGTGGGAGTGGGACGTCTCCTCAGTGACATGGGTGCTGAAGGTGGCGGCTCACACTCACTCCAGGCGCTCAATGATCCTCCATTTGTGGATTCACTTAAGGAGGCTCTCGAGAGCTTGAGTGACGACATCGGAGACCCGTTTTTTGCCGACTCTGTTCTCGTTCCACAGTCTATTGCAGTCCCATGCCAAATTACTCCCGAAAACGATTCAGGTGTTGCGATCATAATAGTTTTCAAAACGTTGATGCCAGTTCATGCGCGTGCAATCAACGAAAGCCCGAAGATGGATTTCGTTCCTTTTCGATTTTTTTCATTGCAACAAAGATGTTTCCCATACTCAGTCGATGATGATGTCCATGCCCGGAACACGCATCGGGAGTTCTCTGGGAAGGCGGCGGATGTGCAAAAGCCTACCCGTACTCTATCGAAGAGAGGGCTCAGGGATAGTTTGATTCCTTGGCCGAATAGTGGACATCGTTTTTTGTCACCGGGCTCTAGCCGCCCCTCAACGTCTTCGGAGAAGAAGCTTGTCACCACCAGCGACCTCAGCCCCAGTACGAGCCTAAATCCATTCGCCTCTGGAGGGATTATGGTTTCTCAAACAGTTTCGGTCGAACATGCTGAAGCCAAGAGCCCTATGGAGTTGCAACCCATGGGACCTAGCTCAGCTATCACAGTCAAGGATAACGATCAGGAAATGCCCACTTGGGTTGACATCCTCTTTAAAGCGGTGATGAGCACTTCTCCGGGGCAACACTAAGCCATCATGCTACGTTGAGCTTCTTAGATTGGCTATGTAATTATATGGGAAACTGTTGGTCCTTTTTCCCCTTTTTTTTCTCTCCTTCGATAAGCACTTTTTGGGGTATATAATTCCCAACCTCCTTGCTGCTCGATTTTCATTCTGCTTCTATTGATCATTTTCCATTCTCTCAGAAAATTCCTTTACCATAACTTTATTTATTTTACGAGCAGGACGAAGTTGTGTACGGGATTGGTTCTGGCGTTTTTTCTGGGCTCTTTGCATTTTTCCCCATCTTGGAACTCCTTTTTGTAATTACACCGCATCCTTTGGCATATACCCTCTTATAACCCCTTTTTTCCTACCCATCTAGCCTAGGAAAGCTAATGATCGTGTACAACTCTTTCCTTTTACCCCTTTCCTTTCTTAACCACGTTAAGTCGGCCTAAAATTACTCCATACCGGGAAAGGCTGCATAATTCGCATTTGCTTCGGGGGGGGGGGCATTCCTGTGGAGATACGATACCATCGTGCCGAGGAAATAAACAAAATAATTACTCGCAAACCATACTCGCAAATTCAGTTAGCTGGCTTCGGTGATGTGAATGCGTCTAGTAAGCTAAGACGCTCTACCGGGTTGGTGGGGGCGATCAACGGGGCATGCATGATGTTGTAATACGGATTAATAAATGTATTACGGAATTGTGCATTCCATCTCACTCTCCCGGTAACTTCCTCACGCCCTGAAATAAAGGTGAAAACAAAACGTCGCAAGAAGAAGAAAAGAGATTCCCACGGAAAGCACTCATTTTTCATTGACCAAGCGGCTGATCGATGTGTTTGTCTGCTGAAGAATTTTTTTTTTTTTCCGGCGAATACGGTAGGGCCCACCACACCATGAATCACACTACAGTACGAGTACAGTACACCATTTCCTATCCCGCCTTTCGTACAGGGAAGCGGTCCTAGGATCATACCGTAGGCTGGAGTTTCCAAGACATTGTTGCCCGCCCGCCTGCCTACCCGCTTGCCCGGTGGTACAGTACGAGTACTGCATCGTACGTACTGGTGCAGTGCTGCTCGTAGAGAGAAAGACCAATGGAGTAGAGAAAACGGAGAGAACGTACATTGAGGAAACTTATTATCAAGAAAAAAATACCTGAGAAGTGAGGAGAGTGGTCAATCAACAAGGAGTAATTAATAATAACCTCCCGAACAAGATAATAATATACAAATCAGAACTACCCACCCACCACACCCCCTACTGCATCCACAAGCCCACCCTTCAAAAACTGTCCCCCAACTCCCCACCAACAACCAGCCCCCCCCACCGCACCCGCGACGACTAAAACTCCCTCCTCCGAAACCCTAAACACCTCACTCATCAGACTGCCAAGAATGTCAGTCCATAATTGCTTATAAAGTACCAACTATCCAAGGTGGGCTTATGGTATTCAGGTAGGGGGTTTACCTCATTGTGAACCGTGCCAGACATGACTGGCATAGGCTTCCAGATCATGTGCTGTCAAGATGATATTCCCCTCACCCTGGGCAGCAAGTGGCAGTTGAAGAAAGATTTTGTCGAAGAGGAGTACCAAAGGAGCGCCAGTAGCAACCAGTGCAGGAATAGCGGGAGCTGGAACAGCGGGAGTGGGGGGTA